TATATATATATATATGTATAGATGTTCTTTTTTATATAAATGTTTCTATAGATGTTTTTTTCCCGCAGAGAGTGTACAGAGCAATGTATGACTACGAGGCGCAAGATCTCGACGAGGTGAGCTTCTGCGACGGCGATTTGATTGTCAACTGCACGGCTGTCGACGAGGGGTGGATGACTGGACTGGTGCAGCGTACGGGACGACACGGCATGCTACCCGCTAATTACGTCGAACCGGCGCAGATTTAAATGTTTTTTCAGGTCGAGCTTCCATTCGCTAATTGTTGCCGCTACGTCGATCAGAGCGTTAATTAAGGCGCTTTGCTGAAGGAAGAGACGATGTTAAAAAAAGAAAAACAAAATTACGTGATACAATACTCGAGATTAGCGCTTCTATTTTTGTTATTCGGCCGAGATAATTTGTTTGATTAAAGTGGCGAATTGTCATCTTAGAAAATCAGATAATCAGATATTTGGCTACTAAAGACTTTTATGAAGAATCTTGATATGAAGAATCTTGAAATTCGACTGCTTTTATCTTGATATCAATTAATCATAATGATGTACGTTTGGATAAAGTATTCGAAAATATGTTGATAAAAGTACGTATGTAGTACGTCTTTAAGCGTATTTATAAAAGCAATCCTCGTCTTCTAGATGACAATACATAGCTTCATATGTTAGAATTCCATGATGGGACCAAACCTTTACCACGACTGCGATAAATTATGCCGATTACAATTAAAATTCGGACAGCTTGTGCAGCGACATAAGCCTTGACCAACAATTAAGAAGAATTAAGTATAAGATATATCTCTTTCATATGCAATGCAGTTTTCTGTAAAGCGTCACTTTTATTTTATTTTTGCTATTAAATTAAAATAGCCACAGTTATCGCCTCCTCCGTTTCGATATATATATATATTTTTTTTAGATAATTTAAATTATACAATTAAAATATAAACATCAAGAAGATAATTAATTTGGTTCGATTAACAGGCTCTTTACGAGCCTTTTCTCTGTTAATGATTATTTTTATAGACGAAACTTTTTATGTTACTTGTTATTCGATATAAACTCTGACCAACACATTAGTGTCAATTAGACAAGTTTTTATATTTTCAATCAATTTTGCATTTATAACTAATATTACATTCTCCTTGTCTTTGTAATAATGTTTCTTTAATTTTTTTTTTTGGAGATATTCACAAAATAATATTTTAGTCATAATATCTAAACTTTTTCGTTTCTAGTAATAAAATATAGGACAAAATCTCTTGTATTCGAAAAGAAATAATGCAATGTGCCTTATACGTATAGACTGCTGAGTAGCGGTATGAATTTTTTTTTATTATAATGTTAAGCTGCATGCAAGTTAATCGAAATAAGACATTTAAAGAAATGCTAACAAATTTTTACTTGCCGCAATAATGTACCTTGATTTGATATAAAAAAAAAATTGACATAAATCCTCTGTCTTCCTTCTTGAAGATAAGTTAAAATAATGGGGAACATAAATATATTGTTGACGCGAAAGATGCTGACACTTGCCTTCCTTTTTATAATAAAATTATCGTTAGGTACCGTTACTGATTTTTAATTAACGATTTAAATATAAATTAATTAACCAATATTTTATTGCATAGTTCTTAAGTTTTATTTCGTATGGTCCACATATATGCTTCGCATTTCTCTCCAAAATTGCATTTACATTGTTGGTGTAAGTTATTGTATTATTTCGACGGTTCTGAGGTTACATGAAAATTGTTGATCGAAAATTAATTGATATTTAATTTAGTTATGTTCTGATGTCGGGCACTTTTTGTGAAATTCATATTTCAAAAGCGCAGTATTAACCGTGTTGGCTAACGTGACAGCTGAATCTTCCAAAATAGGTTTCTTTCTACCTTTCGACTAGCGTTTGTAACGTGTAGTAATAATTGTGCTTAAATTGATAGAACGTCATGTTTACCGCCGCGGAGGTGCTTCTCAAGTGCCTTGTTTGTATTGCGTTTTTAAATTAAAAATATCAAACTAGTTCCTCAGAAATGTATCTACACCCTATATTTACCTGAATAGGCAGATTATATATTATGGAGCGACGTCCGATGGAACTGTACAGATTACTGAACCACGTAAAAGTTAAGTAATTCGTTATCCGCGGGTTACACGCGATGTCGTTCGATCCCTCTTTTGTAAACGAAGAGAATGATATTTTTGGAAACATGTTAACACAGCACTCTTGTAATTATTAGATCGCTGATAAGAGGATTAAATATTGCAAGATACAGAAAATATATGTTAGCGTTGTGTTTAGACAAATATTATATTATCATAGCAAATCATGAATAATGAATATGTATGTTATGTAAACCTATGGTTCGTTATTGATTATTGCACACTCAATACGGCGTCCTTTTCTCTGTCTTCTCTTATCGACGAAATTCCTTTCTTCGTTCTGAAAAATTTCTACTTTCTATTTCGAAGAAAAAAAACGAATCGCAAAAATGCACATATCGTTTTTTTTATCACAGTATATATAATTTATTTTTATTCGCATTTAATCATAAACTTGATAATCACAAAAAGGATTCTTTCGTTAATGTATAACGTGTTTTTTCCTTAAGATAAACATTATTGTTTCTTCACAGAATTTAACAAATTGATTGTTCTTATTCTTATAGTTTTCTAATATTCTATGTTTATATTTTTAGATATTAAAGGAGCATCTATCCTGATATGACCACGCGATAAGTTTTAGTATCACGACGATGGTAGAGCATTTAATACTGTTTGAAGTGCCATTGCAAATTCCACTGACATTGGTATTCAACGTTATCGTAAAGCAATCAATATTCAGCCATGTAACAGATGCTCGCGAATTGAATTAACTGTGTGAAACAAGCTAAAACGCGCTATTACAGCCGTTAACAAAACGAGATTGCAAAATCAAGTAAAACATTTAAGTATGCAGAGATATAAAATATGCATATTTATTGAAAGTAATATAAATACAATAAAATGATAAATTATCACATAAGATAGTCAAGATCGCTGCATCGAGTGCATGTTTGAAAGTCTCTGAGCTTGGTCCATCACAAGATTTCATCGTCAAATCCCGGTAACTTGCGTGATCATCGTCAAACCGTTGAATTATAATATTTGGAAAAGATTAAAAGACTAAGATGTACAATTTTCAGCGCTAAGGTATGTTGCCGAGAGCCGTGGATGTATCGAACTTGATCCGACCTCGCAATTCGATCATTTCAAGCGTACATTTCTCGCATTTGTAATATATCGTTCTTTATTAGACTCAATTTCTCTCGTATCGTAATCCAGCCCAGATCGCTTTGCAAACCTCTCTAATATATCATAGAAGCAACTTTATATGCTATAATGAACACTATATCTCCCCGTCCCGCCGAAACGATCGAGATATTTTTCAGCAAGTCAATTCATCAATATTTTGACACAATACCGCATGATACAACATAGAAGCGTGGCTTGAAAATATGGATGATACATGGTGTTTCCTTAATATATAATGGAAAGAAACTTAAGCGTTAGCCTGACTAATTAGACCGCACTGTCTAACCGTACGGTGGAATGTGCAAATGTAAAGATTTTATATGATTAATGATGAATGTTGGCGCTGCTTCTTAAACGAAATAGAAATGTTATAAGCAGGAAATATTTGCCGTTTATTCGTATTGCAGATCGCTTCACGTTATTCATTATAGCTACGATTTATCTCGCTTAAACTCGTTTTCGATAGGTACTAAATTGGTGTAATTACGTTGAAAGAATTTGTACAGTTTATTTCAGTTTCCTGCTTATATATGGATGTTGTGCCTTGAACACATTTGTCGCAATGAATTAGGATGTTGTATTTTAAGGCCATGTGGACTCTTAATTTTGAATGAGCGTGGGCAAAATCTCGTGACTTTCGCGCGCACGTCGTTTTCGGCTCCGTATTTTTTTTTTTTTTTTTTTTTGGTTACTGAAACAGCGCGACTTTCGGTAATATTCAGCATAAATTGTGCGAGTTGAGCAAGACGAAAATAATGTATCCTGCAAGGAGGTTTCCTTAACAACTAATGCCGTTACAGATATAAGAAGCTACGTGAATTTATAGGGGAATAATACAAGACTTGCGCGTACAGAAATAATGGAACTTATTAGACGTGAGGGATAAGATAAGACACCTTGCTGTGCAGGGATACAGGCACGCAGGTAACAGAACCGACGCTGCCCGGATAAATCACCGCTGTCACCGAACGGGAATTTCGTGCCAGGTATTGGAAGAGTACGCATATATTTATGCTTCCGAAAGAGAGAGCCTCCTCGGAAGCGCAAATCTCTCTATACGATCTTACCGCCGTTCGAAAAAGGGTTCCCTTCCCGAGAGGCAATTTCTATGTAAAAACTTTTACAAAAGACGCTGGACGAGCCTGCTCAAACGTAGGTTTCGAAGGAGTTGTAAGAACGCGTGAACGGTGCCTTCAGCCAGCGAAAAAAAAATCTCGGCTTAACGGTTAAGCCACGCGCGCGTGGTTAACGCTAAATGTCAGCGTTCTCATCCTCGTTCTTCGACTCTCCTCTAGCGAGTTACGTGTAGAATGCTAATGTAATCGGACGAGACGACGTGTGGCGAAGGGTCCGCGTGCTGGCAGTGTCGTTTTGTCGCAGCATGAACGAACTGTCTTTCTTTTCTCTTTCTTTCGCTTTTTTATTTTTCTTTCCCCCGCATGTAACACCCCCGGCTGTACGCATTTTAGCCTGCCTGCTAATATCCGGCGAGGTCGGCGAACGTCTGATCCATCTCGTCGGCGATCGCTTTGTATTTACAGCGCTCGTTTACCAGCACGTCTGCAACGAGAAGGGAGGGAAACGTGGTATTAGTGGACGGTACGATGGTTAATCGGTTGTACATTTTAATATTGTGTTTTTAATTGGAAAGAGAAAGAGAGAGAGAACACACACAAAGAGCACATAATCCTGAGTGGTTAATGCTTGGAGAATAGACAATCATTACATTTGTAAAGTAGGAGGAAGGAAAACTATGCTTAGCTGGATTGGTCCTACTACCTAAAACCTGAGATGACTAGCTTTTCACTTCAGAAAATAAAATACAAGATTAAAGTCTATATATGGATAAATATTTATGAATATATTTTATAAATATCTCGCAGCTCTTATTTTACCTGATTAAGGGAGAAGAGATATGTTTCAGGTATGAAAGAAAACAGCGCATTAGATTCTATATGATATTTTATTTGTCCTATTCTCTGGAGTATTAGAGACAAAAGTGGCCTTGTACAATTTTTCGACAATTTTAAAAATTGAACTACTTACGAAAGATCATTCAAGGTATTTCCGGAATTCAATATTTCATTAATGGTAACGTCGGATGTATTTACTGTGCACTTTTCTTTTTGCTCTACTTACCGCACGCTCAATTGCCACAGCAACGTAATGCAATTAGAACTGCGTTAGAAATTGCGTTCGGAATTTTGATCTAAGCGGCGCGTTTTCGAAATAAATAATTAAATAAGTAATCGCGGCTCAGAGCGGTTGTTCGATGCACGAAAGCCGGAATTGTTTGAGTCGTTGATAAATAAAAAAGAACAGAGGAGAGATATATTGAACGCGGAACGTATTTATAGTACATTGATTTTAGTTACGATAACGAAAGTATATATATATACGCCGTCGAATTCGGCCGTGACTCAACCGCGATCGAATTGTGCGTATATAAATGTCGATAAATTACGGCGAAATAATTCGACGGCGGACGCGGACATTCGACAGCCAGATTTAACCAACCAATTCGGTGAAGGTGAGGTCCAGGTCGTCGCAGATGTATTTGTACTTCTCCTTCTCGTGGACGAGCTCGTCTGCAAAGAAAACGCAGCGTCGTTAGAACGCGCTACAGTCACTGCAACTCTTCTGTCGGTCGGTTGTACTTTGATACGTTCGGTATGAATTAGGTGCATTGATAATTTGCATGAACTTTGATACAAGATAAAACTGAGAGATGTCTACATGTCTTCGATCCTTCAGTAATTATTGCGTACACGGGATATTTAGTTTTAAGCGGTGTGTAGAAATACTTTGCATGATCGTTTATTATAGAAAGATGAAGGATTCTTTTAGAAGGTCAGGTAGCTGCGGTTTCCGAGCGACGAGCGAGTTAAAAAAGCATAGACAGGTAACTTACGGAAGATGTGTTAAGCGCAAGCTAGATTTGCAAGAAAGACTTTCGGTATCTTTTTTTTTTGTATTGAAGCGTTAGGAGGGTGGTTAGTAGCCGCGTTACACGCCATAGAGCTCGAAGAACGCGTTATCCAGGCCGTCCCCGACCTCCTTGAATTTCTCCTTTTCGGTCACCATCTCATCTGCAAGCATTCGCAACGTTATAGGTATAGGCGTTATTTGGTAGAGACCTCGTCTATTGCGCGGCGTGAAAAAGAAGTGCTCCGAAGAGACGAAAGCGTTTAATATTGTTAAAAGTGCGCTAGGGAAGCACTGTGGATCGGCCAAGCAGGATAGTGATGGAAATAATTGATTTTAAATTGCATAGCTTAATGGATTTAGATAGATCACGTCATCAATCTTAACGCGTACGGCTAAAAATAATTCGTCAACTATTTCTATTATGATAGATAGACGTTCGCTAAATTCCTTCTGTCAGATACGACAAACGGAATTTGTACCTTAATTTTATATCTATGCTATTCTTAACTCTATATAGTAGTAGTTTTGTTTTCACATATTTTTCCAACAAAATATATTTCAATAATTATATATGTATTAATCATGAAAATAGTTTTCATTAATTTTTTTATAATATCGTTAATATAATCAATAATACTGATATATATCGGAAAAATTTTATCAATAAATTGAAAAGGTGTATTTATAAGAATATAATAATTATTTTTTTATGACAAGAGACAATCGTGAAGTTTTGATAATGTAAATGGGGATATTTGTCATGCATTAATATAGCAAAATCGAATTAAGCAGATTTACTCACCGTAAATAAGGTATACGTACCACACTTTCTTCCTTCATCATGCAATTTTGTTACGAGACTGTCTCAACAACAAGGCGACCACACAGCGTTATCGCGTGGATATAGTAGTTATAACGTCAGGTTAACGGTGGAGGATTAATGTTAGCGCAGGTAAAAAAATAAAATAAAATAAAACAACGACACAACGAAAAACAAACGACACACTCTTTTTTCAAAATTAAAATATATATTATAAACAGTTTTATAATAATAGCAATATATAATAATCAATTATTATTACAATGATATTAGTATTATTATCGTTCCATTCACTTTATTAATATTAAGTAAATTAATAAACTAAAACTCTCTCTTAAACTCAAGATATTTGCGTTTCCGTAATTTTTAGCATTATTCAGAAAGAAAAGAATTGTGGCTAACAAAAATCAACGATAGGACGATAGAATGTAGGTCTCGTGGTTGTGCTTTCCGCGATTAACTTTCCTGGTTTTTTTTTTTCGCGACGTTTTAACTTTGAGAACAAACGATCGCGATGTCTCTGGGTGGCCTTTCGGTAACGCACTGTATTTTGGATCAGTTCATCGTCATCTTCGTAATGCATAAATAGAGATACAATGAGATATACAAATTCGAAATAATTCTGAATTTCTCCAACGAGATATCATTCGATCAACGTGACATCGTACGCGATTATATCTTTAGAAGTCACGTAATTAGCACGTTTATTATGTTAACATTACAATACAACCGTATCAACGATACAATGTCGATTTGTATACAATACAAATCAAAATGCGACGTTGATAAAAAAAAACTATAAAAAGCTAATTGTTAAAATTAAGGCGCCTTTCGCGTGAAAGGCAAAGTATTCCTATCCTTCAGGAGTCATTCCTGAAACGTATACTCGATCTATTCTATGATACAGATATCTTTATGATCGCTCGGTGGATCACGCGACGATGTGTGCATGTATTTATATATCGAAATGGGGGAAGAGGACGATGCACATTTCCTTCATCAAAAGGCCATCCAAGAATAATGTTGCAGAAAAAGTGCTACAAAAATAACCGTGACGGATTACGACATCGAGGTCGGGGCAGTACACGCGACATGTATATATAAATTACGCTTTTCAGTAGAAAAGAAAAAAAGATTGGAAGAGAAAATTTCTCCACGCGGAACATTAGCGATGCGCTCGACGGCGAGCGCGAAGTATAGCAGTAACATTAACGACAACTCTCGTATCAATTAATAGTAATAGTAATAATAATAAATCCGAGGCGAACTGCGCGCCCCGCGAAGTGTGAAATATCGGATATGCATTATTTCGACGATCGACCATTTATTTCCGATTTCTCATTCGCTGTAACGTTTTTTTTTTTTTTTTCTACGAAACGAAGAGCACGTTCCCTGCGGTCGAGGTTTGATATTGGCCGTGGTTAGTCATTTATATCGTAAATATATACAGGCACGATCGGTAAAAAATATATATCGGAATGACTCAGCTAGCACGGGAAGCGGCGCTGCGGCGTATAACAAAATAGCCAGTTTGCTTCCCTTTGTTTGTTATTAATCTTAAGTATTATGCGTCGACCAATTTTTCATAGGCCCGAAGTTAAACCACTCTGCGTACGTGCGTACACATATACATATGTGTCTCTGCTTAGGCCGGATAATTTCTCGATTGTTATTTCGTGCTACTCGATGAAAAAAAAAAGGATTTGAACTATGGCAATACTACGATTGATAAATACGATTTGTAATAGTTTGATTGAATATTGCACAACAAAGACAAAGACGTACTAAGAAAATATCTTTTTTTTTTTTTTAAGAAAAATTGATGGGAGGGTTTTGGCAGTGCAGGAATCCTCTTAAATGCACGGTTATTGCAACATTCGTCGTCTTTGCTTTCATCGGCGGCAATGAGAAGGTGACATCACGACGATGATAGTGTCTCGTAAAAACCGACAGAAGAAACCGACGGATCTCTCTCTTCTTCTCGCGCGAGCTGAGCCGCGTGGAATGCGGAATGTAAAATGATGCGAAAAGCAAACGAACACTATGTTTCCCCTCCATTATATACAATCCTGCTACGCGTATCTTTGTACCGAGAGAAGCACGCGCGCTAAATTCGATGAAAATGTATGCTCGACTGGGTGAATCAATTAAAGAATAAAAAAATTTTCGTAAAGTCACTTCTAAAAGATTTCGCTAACTCAACAAAATAATCATTTATCTTTTATAAATCGGGGAGGAACCCAACTGCTGCGAATATCCCGACGAGTCGCGAGCGCAGTTTACTATATAATTATATATTAAGTACAATACTATAATTATATATAATAGGTCGTATATGTATATATTTAAACATCGTCTTTGGCGCATAAAATTGATACGCTCGAGAAAATTGGTTCCAAAATTTCTCATCGAACTTCTTCTCCCGGTACAAACAATCCGATCCGTCTCGTCTCCGTTTCTCATATTCTTCGCCTCTCTAAATACCCTACTCACGCATTCCTCCCACGGCCAGTAATCGTTTTCATAACGAATTTAAACCGCAGCGTGTCCGAAGGCGCCTTAAACTGGTCGTAGCCATGCCTTAAATTTTTCTCTAATAAAAATTCAAAGGCAGACTAAGCTAAAATCTAAAGCTAAAAAAATCGGACTTCGAATTACAAGTAACTTCATATTATGTACGGAACTACTATCCTGCCTCGTCTGTCCTTGTGGCGTATTATTTATTCTTCCTCGCGTTCTTTCTACCTTTTTCTCTCTCACTCAAACTCTTTCTCTCTGTCTCGTTCACTCACTCTGCCATACTGATCCTTTCGTTCAGTATCTTCCTTACTCTTCCTCTCGCATGCACACACATACATTTTCTACTCTTCCTCTCATCCTATATCAGTCTTGCGTCACGTGCATACAAATAGACACGCGACACGCACACGATACAACACACGCTCGAGCGCATACAAGCACGCATAATACGTATACGCACTGCGGATGGACGTAATGGAGGGTATAAGGCCTAAAGACTGCATTTTTATCCGTTAATGTTAAGGTATGCACCACATACGAAGCGCTTCGCGCTCCGTAACGGCGTATTTGTTTCTCATTCACTTCTCGTTGCCGCCGTTCTGCTATTTGCTTGCATTTGTTTTTCTTTCGATTTTCTTTTTTTTTCTCAATCTCTCTCTCTCTCTCTCTCTTTCTCTCGGATGTTCTCTCGCTCCCTAAAAACGTTTATGCGTTTTCGCGTTTATGCGTTTTCGTCCACCGCGAAAAACACGATTTACATGTTCTGGATGTCATGCAGGGTGGCCTCCATCTCCTCCTGTAGCAATTTGTTTTTCTCTCTCTCGCCCGCGAGGTCGTCTGCAAAGATCACTGGTTAAAGGGAAGTAACACACGGCAAGCCACACGCGAGCGTAACACACTGCGTTTCGGCGGTTAGATATGGGTAAAATGCGTAAAATATACGGCGCACACACATACATACACACACGGTGAAAAAGTTGGGTTTGGCTTTACGATTGTCGAATCGCTACATTCTTATGTATACTTAAGAAAATTGACTAAGAAATTCAAAATTTGATTTAACCATTTCGACTTCAGTTTTCCAAATAGAAATATTCTTACTAATTTCTTTAGTCTCTTAAAAAAAAATATATATATAATTATTTATTATTCACAATAATTAGTTTTTTCAGTATTGCTTTGCTTATAATGCTTGATATCGGAAGCTCAAACCTTTTCAAATGCGCATTTAATGGTTAAATCAAATTTGATTCTCCAATAATCTTAGCTACTTAAATAGAAAATAATATCTGATCAGTCTGATTATCAAGTCTATAAATATCTTTCTTTGAATTCTTTCTCTCTTTCTGTTTGATAAGACATTCAATTCATATTATAAAATTGTATATCCGAGATAAAAGAAATATCTACACTAGCACATGTCGACGCAATTATTGAAAAAAATCTAACTGAATTCAGATAGCGTTATTGAAGACAATGAAAGTAATTAATATGTCAATGTGTACGTGTTCTTTTTTTGCCATATACGCACCTTCGAGCCTGTCAACTTCCTTCTGGAGTTTCTGCACGGATCTCTCCGCGAACTCGGCGCGTGCCTCAGCCTGTGCAAACGCAATACTTCAGTCAGGAAATTACACTTTAAATTAAATTATCGATTTCAAAAAAAAAAAGACGTAAAAACAAGCTGTCCATTTTAATTATCGCGTATAATAGAAACATAGTTATTCAGCAAGATTTAAAACTGTTTTGCTATTTTTTTTTAAGTCGATGAGATAATTAATCATCGGTATAAATATCAATGTTTCACGCCATGCAAGTAAAACAAATTTCACGTCACACATGACTGCAGCTATGCTATGAATCTAGGCCTTGAAAGGTTTAGTTGCGACACACTAAATTGCACAATTAATATGCTATTATTGAAGAACAATGATTTACTTTCTCTTTTTTCGGACAAAACACTTATTGAACAAGAATTTTACAATACCATTGACACATTTGTATTTGTCGTACCTGGTGATGTTACAGATTCTAAATTTTTAGATTTATTTGTACGGGCCTTGAAAGTCACACGTGCTTTTTGTAAATAGTTTTTCATTTTTCGTAAATACACAAATTAAATTTTTCGTGCACGTACATAAATTAAAGTTACTTTGTTTTGTGATTATTTATCATATTTTATTTTTGAACGTCAATTTTATATTTTAATAATAGATATAATAATATAATCAAAATAAAATGGAAATCCGATTATACACTTAAAGATTTGTTGTAATAATTCATAATAATTTTAATTCTGTTTGCTCTTTCACTTACCTCTTTCAATTGACTATCGAGAATCTTCACCTGGCCCTCGAACGTCTCCTCTCGTTGCGTCGCCTGTTTTTAATCAAGCACAACAAAAAGACAAAACGAGCTTTCGTTAGTTCATCGCAACGCAGAAAACACTTTGGTTATTTAAAAAAAAAAAAATAGGGTCAGATAGCAAAACGACAGGGGTACGCGAGTTAATATTTTAGTGGCAAGATCTACGACGCGAGGATGGATCACACGTTAGAGAAAATGCAAAGCAAGACACTCCCAAAGGATGTGTACCTCCTTTAGACGGGTAGTAAGGGTCTTAATTTGATTCTTGTATTCCTCCTCGCGTTGGTTGGCCTACGTACAATTACGTATAAATATTATTTCTCGCACGTATGTAAACGATTTACTCCAGAACGTATTGACTAATAAAATACTTAAGAGGAAAGGTCATAAAAAAATTAATGCAAATTAATTCAATTGGCACGCGTTTTCATCTCGACATAATTTTTCTGATTTACGATTAAATTGGGCATTATAAGAACGGTAATGTACTTTCTATCCATAATATTTTCCGGCGTTTTAGACACGGATTAATTGGTGATTAAGAAAATCATTATAATGTAAAATGAGAATTGGGGAGGGGTGATATAACCCGCGGAATTATCTCCGTTCTGATTGCGCCGTACTTGGTGCGTAAAATAAATCATTTACCTTTTCCTCGGAGACCTCGAGGGACTTCAAGTTGTTGCCGACGACACGCAGTTCTTCCTCAAGCTCGACAATCTTGCTGTAAAGTTAATTAGCCGTTTAATATTGAAATTTGTGGATCATTAGAAGGAAAAGAAATATGGCAGACAAACGTTTTCAATATTTTTCAATATTTTTTCTTAATTATTTAATTCTCTAATTTTTTAAAATATAATTAAATAATTTGAAAAGAAGTCATGCGATGTGATGTAAGTTACATGAAAAATTTGTCTCAATATAAAAATTATTAACAATTAATTTTCTATCATAATGTCCAGTCTTTGCACCAATAAGAATTTTTTCATCAATGTACAGTATATAAAAATTACTCTGTCTTTAAATTTTAAAGTTACGTATTGAAACGTTTGTCGATAATTAAAACTTCTGGATATAACGAGCGAACGATAGCAAGGGAGGATTGCATAGTGCTGCACATGGAGGAAAAGGGACACGGTGAACGCATGCATATGATTGCACTTACGATTCGGAAAGCTCAGCTTTCTCCTCGGCGCGCTCGAGATCCTGCTCCATCATGACTAGTTTCCTGGCGACCTGTGATCAACAGCCACACGTGTCATGCGCGAAAGCAAAGGTGATGGAAATGGACAAGTTGTAATATAAAAAATAAAAAAAAAGAATCAGGTGTTGGCATGCAGAGACGCTATAAAAATCCGATGTCTCCTGGCTTCCGGGGCTCTTTCCGGCTGCTAAAAGATTAGTGTGAGTGCAGGGTGCTGCAACGTTAATTAAAATTACGGCATGGGGGATCGCATCTACGTCCATAGGTAACTTTTTGAGACAATTATTTTAGAAATTAACTAATTACATAATACGATTTAGATAATAAATGATTTGGATGTATTTTGACATTTGCAGGTTTATTAAAAGATTGTCAAGCTCAACCGAAGTTCGATATGACTCAATGTAATTTTTGTTATAAATTTTTTTCCCTCAGACGCAGATGGTGTAGGAAAGCCATTATTACTAACGAGATATTGTTTAGTGGGCTTCTATGAGACACAACACTACTTAACGATTATAGATTAACGTTTCATAATTCTGGCTCTCCGACGACGGAAAGGATCTTAATAAACTGATACACACACTCCACAACAGCTTTTAATGGTAGAATGCGATCAACAAAAAAGTATCGTTATCGTGCAAGATGGGCACGGGCGTGGTTAAAGGGGTACTTCCGCCTCTTTCGTCGTCGTCGTCGACGACGACGAACGATGTTGCGGGGCTAACGGTGCTATCAAAAGTTACGGGAGCGAGGCCGACGATGCGTGATGGCAAGAAAGGCGGGCGGCTGGGTCAGATGAGATGAGGAGAGAAAACACACTGCCGCGGCGGGATCGTTCGCACTTCGGGCAAAAGGTGCCGGGCGGAAAGATGCCTAATAAAAACGATGCTTACGACTCTCCGGCCTCGGCACGCTCCTCGGCGCGTTCTAGATCGGCCTCAACCATGGCCAATTTACGGGCGACCTGTATAAAACGACACACACATACGGTTTCTAACATGTGCCTTCCATCACCTCCTCCTCCTCTTTCCTCTCGGCGACCTCGCCGCCTCTGAGAACTCCGGAGGCGGCGGGATGGCGAGACACCGACGAGCGTCTCGTCGCCGCCGTCGTCGTCGTCGTTGTCATCGCCGTCGTAGCCGTGATTGGAAGAGTTACGGTCTTCAGGAGTTACGGAGCTTCTCCTCCTTATGCGCTCAAAGTCTGCTGACGAGCTAGCGGGCGATTCGTGGTGTTTTCGTTTTAAGCACCGCGGATATGCAAAGCTATTGTCTCGCGAGAAGAAGGGAAGAGAGCCATCTTCGGCCAAAAGTATCTTTTAATAACGACAGATTGAGAAAATTTAATATATCAATGCAACTTGTTGCAGAATTCACTACGCGTGCCACTGCAGTTTGCTTGCACGTATTTCAAATTAACGTATTATCGAATTTGCATTCAAATTAAACCACGTCGTTAACGACAGGCCTAAACTGTTGCATTAACATCAATTTTCTCGTGAACAATCTTCCGCGAACGCTCGGCAAATGGGGTAGCCTCTTCCAATCGGCCACGCCGTCGAAAAACAAACGATCGGAGATACTGCACGCAAGTCGCGCGTCACGCAAATTGCAGCTCAGTCCCGACGGACAGGTCCTGATGGACTCGTAAGCGCATGTAAGACAGCAAATGTACGGTCACGCCAGGTAAAAAGATCGTCGTCGAGAGTACGACTTTTAACGCGCCTTTTAACTGGCGACTGGACATGTGTTAAATCACGATTTGTGGACGTGTCCGTGCAACTCCGCGTTCCACGACGATCTTTCACTCATGCAGCACAACTTCCGTAGCACGATCCGTGGCGCGATCGATCGTAAAATGGCTTTCTCATAGAAGAGTTTAATTGAGAGATTCGCGCGGGATTCGATTACAAGCCCTCTTCCGCGTTCCCTCGCTCGTACATCTTCACTCACGGAAACTTTATTACAGTTAGCACGAATCAGTTGGCACGATCCCTCTACACGAGACGCGGTATCGTCGTGTCTATATGAATCAATCTGACCTCTCATAGTTGGCGTAATTCTGCAAACGATACTCGCACGATACTCGATGAAAAGTGCAACACCCGTGATTTCGAAGCGATAAAAACAAAGAGCCTTTATTCGGCTCGTTGAGAAAATGCAGCATTGACTGTAATCGCGTCGCGTCGACTTTGTAATGTGCGGCAATTATGCGAAAAATTATGGCGCGTAATTTATGATAATTTATGACCGTCCCGGCAAACTTCACCAATTTCGTGACAACCATTTTACGATGGAATTCGCGACACGTTCTTGCGAATGAACGACAGATTGTAAGTCGTCTTGTACACATATATGTATGTGCAAAAAAAAAATAAAGGTTTAACGAAGACATCGGTACACTCGGTTGCTGTTAGAACTTGTCGTCATCTCTGTAAGTTTCTGTAACGGTTAGGCAGTTAGATCGTTAATTAGAAGGTCAACACAGACGATTGTGCGTGGAAGCAACTATCTACTGAAAATAAATTGGACGATTCGATTAACATCGCGGCAAAAAAATCAACTCTCGCACACCGCAATTAGTTTTTGCGCATACTGTTAATTAACGATGATTTAACAGATCGCAATGGAAACGTCATCGGCTGGAGAAGATAAATTGGTTGAAGTTACGGTGACTTCAGAAGTTTCGATAAAAATAATCTCGAGGAACTAGGAATTCTTCGATATAATAACCGTTAATTTTTGAAAATTAAATAATGATAAAATATTATTAAAGATACAAGTAAAATGTGCATCTTTCAAAAACTAATTAAAAATAATTAATGTAATTAGTTGCAAAAACATATGGACAAATAAACTGTGACGCATTCACTTTCACAGAGAAATTGGATATTTGCATCGTGTAAAATTGCATGGACGGCTCACAGCCGCAAAATAATTTGTAATATCGGACGTATCATGCAGATGACTGTGGCAAAAAAGATCTCGAGCGATATCTTATCCCGGCGGAGTGATATCTGTAATCTCCGCGCGGACAAATAGCGAAGTGTGTATCATCACCGTAATTTCAACGTTATCGCGGCCAACACCTACCATCACAACCTCTCGTTACTTCGGCGCATCGCATTCTGAATTCCAGCACAAGCGAAATCTCGCTCTCGTCTTAAAGCGAAAGACAAGCTTTTGATAAAAGCAGCACCATAACGTTGCCGCGCGGAGGGCCGCGATTAAAGTCGAGCGGCCTCACGCGCGCGGCGTTATCACAAGCACAATTGACGATACTCTTGTTTGAATTTAACGAGGCCGCGGACTCGCGCGCGGGGGGAAGCGAGCGACGACGGACCGAGCATGCGGCCCGAGACTTTCACGACGATTTTTTTTTAAATACCCGCTGAGGAGAACGAATTAGATCGAAAACACGCGCGCGTACGAACTTCTCCGAACTTGGTTCGCGCACGGCCGTCTCTAATCTACAAGTATCTAGTAACAGGAATATATATGTAGCAATAACAAGATTAAACTCTTTTTACGAAACTGGCACTTGAGACATTTTGTCGTAGTTTTTTTTTGTCGTAACCGAAACGAAAACACTTTGAAATCACAGATACCCGATTCTCGCGCTCGTGAAACACGTGAACACTCTCGTACGTATCACCACTCTCTCTCTCTCTCTTCATTTTTTTTTCGCGCGACTCTTACAGAGATCTCTAAAATCCTCTCTATGCTAACAGCTGAAGATGGAAAAAAATAAAACGATCTTTGAAACACTGCACTTGTCGCGAACACGCGAAGGAAAATAAAAACTTTTCCACTTTCATTCGCAGTTCAGATTGCGATCACAGATCGACGATTCACGATTTACCCTCGACGAGAGATTTCACTGCGCGAGGGAGATTCGCGCCTTGTCGAACTTTCTTACGGAAACCTTCGCTTCGCGACGCGGGCAACGCCTCGGACAAGATCGCCTCGTTTTTTTTTTCTAACTCGGTCGAAACGTCAGACGAGACCAGACTGACGATCTCAACGAACGGAACACGTGCCTCTTGTGCGAGGAGACACGTGTTTCTTTACTCGCGACGCGGAGACGTTATCGAACCACGGTGTTTTCGAGCACACAAAGAGAAGACAGAGAGTTATGGGGTTAGGCACTATTTTGACTATCGACTAGGAACCATCGTCATCATGATTATCATCGTCACTGCATCCAACACGCTTGACAGCGGTAGCCGCGGGCGCGCGAACCTCATCGTATTTCTTGTCGGCTTCTTCGGCGAGGAACCTGGCCTCCTTCAGCTGATTCTCGAGGGCGTCCATACGCTCTTCGTCCGCCAAGCTGCGATTCTCGAGAATCTTGCGGGCGCTTTAAGGTGGAGCACATGTCGAACGAAAGAATTCACGGTTAAAAAAATCGATTAAGACAAACGGACTAAATTAAGAGATAGATTTCTGACGATCGTCTCGAGCGGGAAACGCCTCTGCACAGCTCAGCTCACAGTAATGGCGCGTCTACCTGCGAAATTTACCTGGAAGATAATTCCGGAGGACAACTACCGACCGGCCGGAACGATCTTTTCTATACGAGACTATTAATGTATCGAAGGTGAATTTCTACTTCTTCAGAAGCTCCAATTCACTATTTCTTCCGTGAAAATGTTCCCGTAAAATGGTAGGTAAATATTTTTTAATTTCTAAAAACATATTGTAAATTTCAATATGTCATTGCTTAACGCCCGAAACGGTTGGTAGTTGGTCTCCGACAAAAAGAAATAAAGAGGCTCCTTCAGCCCCTCATTTTTTTCGCTCTTTGTTCGCTGATGACCCACCTCCTCGTATTTCTTGTCCGCCTCTTCTGCGATCAGTTTAGCCTGTGCTAGTTGCTGCTCCAACAAGGATACTCGGTCGTCTTCCATGTTAGTGCGGTTTTCGAGGGCCTTGCGTATCCTAATGATCGATCGTTTGTCGATTTTTAGAAACGAGTTAATCGTCATTGAAAGAATGATCAATGTTACGCACGAAATGACTATTTCCTCGATCGTTGATTTAAAAATTTTTCAAGAGTGCAACAAAAAATAATGTAGATATAAAGGCGATAAATTTCAATTTTAATTTGGTTTTTCAGCATCAATTTATTTTATTATGTTTGTATATTGATTAATTAATTTTTCCGATTTACATAAAGATAGTGTCTTTTCTTTTCTTTTTTCTAATGTAATTATGCGTGTTGCCGCGTAATAAATCGAGAAACTAGAGAAGTACGTATTTGACAATTTTTCTCTCGTATGTGAGAAAGTAGCAAGACGTGCGAAACATGTACACGTCATCCGTTATCAACGACGATAAGCAAGCCTAGCGTTATTTTAAGCATTTACGTACTGCCGTAAAGAAATCATAATCGGCAATTAGACTTTCAAAGTTACGAGTGTATTTAATGACCGTCTTTATATTCAATACTTTATCGTGAAGTCTTATCATATATGTGGTACATAATAAAAATCAAATAGATGAGAAGAAAAAACGGCGTTATAATTCTTGCAACGTCGTCATAAATTTGTTATCTTTCAAATAATACATAACATAAGAAAACGAATCTTAGAACTGATCTTCAATTGTAAAGTAAGAATCAGAAAGCGTTTGTGTAAATCGTTGTCGCAGCGGATGTGATATGCAACCACAAAAAGTGGGTCAGGATGTGGTGTTTCAAAATCCGGAGGATCTTATTTTCAATTCGAAAGAGCGTAAAAGAGAAAAATAATTGCAAACTTAATTTACTTCGTATTTATTTATAATAACTATTTTTTTTTAATTATGACGTAGAAACTGGCTAGAATTGTTTACGACATCGTTACTTTGCGATGATTAAGCATCTACTAAGCAACATATATCTATAATGGTGAACGAAACTAGCATAATAATTACGCGAAACTTCTACACTTATCATGATTGCATATGTGCAACTGGCATATTAAAGAGCTGTTGCGTTCGGGACTATATTTGGCACGATATTAGTCATACAAAATTGCAACGCGTTCTATAATTAAGTCGCGGAAAAAGGACTCGAGAGATATTCTGTCTCTTTGTCAGATCGATTCTTTCAATGTAAGGCGATACAAAGTCTTAGAGAAATTATGGAAGGAAATAAATCTTTTAGAAATAAAAAATATTAAAACTGTTATCAAAATTATAATATATAATTCTATATTCATATATATCATAAATAAATAATATACACGCATGTGTAGATAGAATACACATGATGGATTTATAACAGAAGTGGCATAAGTTATGCAAAGTAACTTTTGAAATATCTATTATATATTCAAATATTTACATTTTTTAAATATTTTTAATATTTTTAATATTGAAAAATATCTAGCTCTGACAGATTTTGATAACTCTATAATATACTCTATATAATATTTCATTAGATACATGTATATATGTAATATAAATTAAGAAATACAATTAAGAAAACATGAAAAAGATTTTATAATTTTAATTTCTATAAAATAGTATAAAATAATATAATTAAGGATTTTATAACTTTAATTTTTATAAAGTAACATGAGATAAAAATGAAATATTCATTTACACCACTTTTGCATTTCATTTGTGTAATTAATTCTCCGATAATTTAAAATTATTCATATATATAATAAATGAAAACGATCAAGAGTAAAATATTATAAAACTCAATTTTCTTTTATAAAATTATTTTATAAAATTTTATAAAATTATTTTATATATTCTAAAGTTAACAACTGTCCATTATTAAATATTAACATCGCACTGGCGGCTTGACAACATATTAAAAATTTTATCTTACTCTTATCAACGTCTAATCGTACAATATATAATATCTGTATTACTCTTAATCACTTCCAAAAAGATTAAAAAAATGTAACTATGAGCAATTATTTCTTTACAAACACACATTCTTATTTCCAAAATTGTCAATTATAAAATAATCACCAAAATAAATTATATTCATATTTTTCTATTTAACAATTAATTTTGACAATTAATATATTTATTTTGATAATATTTCTATTGTATTTTCTATTTTGAATAACTGCTCATTGTGAGTAATATACAAGATCACTCGTATAAATAAAAAATTCATAATTTTCTTGCATATATAATAGAAGACACTTACCGTTCGCTCTCATCGGCAGCTTGCGATGCCTCCGCTAGTTTGGCGGTGGCAGTGGCAAGACGTTCCTCAGATCTCTCGAGGTCCTCCTCCAACAGTTGAATACGGCGATTCAAGGCGGCGACTTCGGACTCAGCCTGTAACATGTAAGAAAATCCATTCCGGGTAAGATAAAAGCTTAAAAAAAATCTGTAATTTATAATCTTACATAGTTGTAGTAGAACCATACACCAGTATGGTTACTAAACAAATAATATAAAATAATGAAGAAAAAACATAATGCAAGATACACATTGCATACATCTATACACACACGCTTGATAGTGCGAATACTGCGAATAATTGAAGGAAAGATAATTTAATCTAGTAGTGGTAGTAATCGTTAACGTCACCCGAGTGTCCCCGTGTATCATTTTATCCTTCTTGTTCATCGAATGTCAAACAAAGATAAAATGATACACGGAAACACACTCGAGTAACGTTTCTGAACGCAGCCCTGGTGGTCCTACGTGAAAAACCCAGCGTCACCTATACACTGAGAAAAAAAAGTTGTTAAAATAATTAAATGCGTTAATTTGTCGACAGTTTTTCATTGATTCAATTATATATGTTTTTGAATTAAACATACATCAATAACATGATATTTTTGTGAATTAATAAGTATTTTGTCGAATTAACAATGTTTGCTTGACAGCTCGTGACCGCCGCATTTAGTTGAATGAAATAATATTTTTTTAAATCAACAATTTTTTTCTCAGTGTAGATCTGAAAGTTTTTCTGTGACTCTCGCTGAGGTTATAATGTCCTATCCCCCGCCGCCAAACACTAGGTTTTTATTTGGCCCTGCGCTGGACACTAATCTTTTTCAGTCCTACGCCAGACACTAGGCCTTGTTTAGTCCCGCGTCAGACGCCAGGTTCAAAATACTGCTCATTTCCTCTCTTTTATCAGCAGATGTTATTTGGACTGAGATACTATCGGTGGTTCTGCCTTGCCTTTCGAGAGGTGACGATCGCTTTCAGATCGATTTTAAAATCAATTTTTAGCGCGTGTTGCGATATGCGCCGCCAGTACCGAAAACCACTGGCAGCGCATCCCGAAGCGCAATCATGTTGTTCAGGGTGGATTCGAACCTGCTACGCAGCTCCCTGCGCCATGATCGTTCTTAATTTAATCTAAGAAAAAGTTAAAATCTATAGGTATATATATGTTAAAAACATATTAAATTGCTTTATTAAATTAGAGCAACAAAAACTTAAAATAACGCACTATTAATTCAATCATCAATTCAAAGATATATTCTACTACAGTCGAAGATATACTGTAATGTTATTTAAACCTTATATAATTTAGTTACACCTGAATTATTATTTAAATAAATACAATCTTTTATGTGAAAAAACAGTAGCTTGCTAAGTCTAGAACTAAGATTTTATATATGTTAACGAAATTATGCGAAGTGTAACGTAACGAACGGCTAATCTGCTATTATTGTCCGTGGTCTATCGACATGACGTTGCAATCAGGCGTATAATGTGTCGATGCTGGATTAGGAACGATCTGAATCCAATCGAATGCCGTAACGTGCCGAGCGTGATCAGAACTTGTCGCAACAAAGCACTCTCGGTTGGAAATCGTAAGAATCTCTCTGCGTGCATACCAATGACCCCGAGGCGGTCTCGCGTGTTGCAAAGAGTCGGATCATCACCATCGTCGATTTCGACCAAACTTTTGACCCGTAAGTATACGCTATGCCTCATCGAAATGGGGATATGTCGGAGATATCATCCGTGATAAACGCTCCTAGATTTCAGATCAGCGATACGAGATTGGTATTCGATGTAATCAATAACGTTCGTAAAGTGATGCAGCAATAATTCAGGCAAAAGCTATACATCACCCTATGAATTTTTAATAGAATGCTTAAGCTCAAAGACGTGATTGGCAAGAATTGAATAAATTTTAGCTTCAAGATAATTAAATGCTGATTTCAATATAAATAGGTTATTATTTATTAGATTATCCTAATAAAGAGAAAAGCAAATTGTATTTATTATCAGAGAGATAATATATACGCGTTTTCAATCATTAAAATCTGTATTAAGAAATTAGTACAACTCAACTTAATCTTAGATCATAGATGAGAAACTAATTTTTGGTCATTATTTTTGAAAATAATATTTTGTAACTCTATTGACGGAATTGTATGAGGCTAAACGAAGCATGCGATTTTCACGGATGTAAATTACTTAACGGTCGATTACACACATATATCCGCGTACACAATTCGAGACCCTTGTCCTCGTTAACTGCACCTGCCTACGATTGTGCGTCTAGTAAATTGCCCTAATTCATCCCGTACGCAGGGAACGTATATATCGTTTCACGTTACTTTATTAACGGTGCGTGAACTTGGTATTCATGGATTTTGGCGCACCTATGTCGATTTTATAGGAGTAGAGCGAGGAAGAGGGGAGGATGATGTCAGCAGACTGACAGCAACAATTGCTTAATCATCTAAACGTAACTGTGATACCACAAAACCACGCTACCACAATTATAAATATTACTAATTACAATTACTAATTTCCCTCTTAACTGTTTCTATTAAAACAAAAGATGGTAAGAGTGTCTGGATTCTGTCGTAATATTTGAATCATCTCGATAAAATAAAGAAATCATTAACGAGAATGTAAGACACGTGATTATAAAATGAAATATGAAATTATCTTCTTATTTATGAAATTGCTTGGCATAATCGTTTTGCGAAACACACCGCACGCCTGCACAAAACATTTATTCCACAACTTTGGCGGAGGATTGTACTCGTTACTGTCGAATTTCCGTCAACAAATTAATGCCTCAAGAGTTCAATGATTGTGTGAAAGTGGACCGGCGTGGCTCGCGGGTCGCCGCGCTGCTCCACGCTCGATGGCGCGTACAACGCAACGTCACGCATGCTTTCGCGTTACCCTTACCGACGCGAACTTCGTGTGTAAGTATTCGGAGAGGAAATCGGCACGCCCACTCGCACTTGTGCCGAGCGGACAGGTCGTGTCACATCGACGATGACCGTGGGCAAGTGTTGGTAAAGTGTGCCAAACTTCCGCTATAGCGTCCGACCCTTTCTCGCAGCCTTCCATCACGATCTATTTAATTCGTCCTGCACAGTCTGACCGACGTCGACCGCAATTGTATATGTATAGGGATCGGTGTTGATTTAGTAAATCAAATACATTTTCAGATTGGATCGGAGGCACACTGATGATAATGTTATTGAAAATGGGATATCGGAGGGACGGAAATCAGTTTTGTTTGCAAGAAACCAATGGAATTGATTTGACAAACAGAAGAATCTATGGAATATATTGCCTTTGCGACATTAAAATGTATATAGATATATATACGTTCGCGAGTTGTAGATATGATAAGAAAGCTTCCATCATCATACTTTTGCTTAAGGAATAGTTTTATCTTCTAAAATCACTTTTCTTGCGTTTATGAATTCTATCGGACCTCACGGACAAGATTCTTAACATGAAAACTTCATTAAGGATTATTTGATATTTATCTTTCTGGTGTGCACGTGTAATCGAAGTGAGTTCCCGAGCCGCGGAAAGAGCCGCGGTGCGTACATTTATTTCGCATCGTTCCGCGAAGTACGCGCGTCGTGCGTACTGGCATTCGTTTGTAAATAAATTCGCTCAAGACGAGGCGAACGCGTCGAGAGACATCGGCATTCTGTTATGTAAACTTCTCGAGAATAAAGACACGGTCGATCCGAATCCCCTGCTCCCCGTCGCGAGATATATCGCTTCAGCGCCTCTGATCGGTCCCCGTCGACGCGCGAGCAAATCAATAAGACGCGCCTTATCGCGCCCTCACGTACATCCTCCCGTCTCAGCGGCGATAAGCCCGTAATTGAATCAACTTGCGAAACATCGGCGCGGCGCATCGCTCATTATCATCGCGTCAGGCTCGAAGAGGAAAGAGAAAGAGAGAGAGAGAGAGCGAGGAAAAGAACGCAGAAAAATTGCGGTGTGTCGCGCCGGCAATGCACTTCGTTGCTCCGTGACAAAAGCGTATTAGCGCGGCCTGACCGCGTCCGTCGTCGCCGGCTGGCCTTTAAAACGCATTGCGCGCCATTCAGGTGCACTCTGTCGCGAGTGCGCATTGAGGAGTCTCTCGCGATGGATTTTTCGCCACTGCGCCGAAAGATGCAGCGTGCGCGTTAACGTTACGTCACCGCCGACGAGCGGAAATGCAGTCCTGCAGCTCAGAAATTTGATTGCGAGTTCAGATTAGTCAAGTTACATCGGCAGGAGTAATTTTGTCTTTTAAAATCGTTATTTTTTTTGGTTTGCAGTTAAACATTCGCGAATTCTATCGGACCTCACATCTGCGATTCTTGACATGAGTTTTCGTGTTGAGAATCTTAGATAAGATTCTTAACTCATTAAAGATTATGCGGTTTATCTCTTTGGTCTGTAATCAAAGTAATGTACAACATTTCTAAGATTTAATTATTAATCCTGCGAACGCAACAGATTTTCGTGTCTGATATGGAGATGAAAATACTTGATTGCAAAACGATGACGCGAACCAAGAGGACCATAAGAACGTACTGGAAAGACGAAATTAACTCGTTGACCGACGCATACAATGTAACGGCATGGCATAATAACGAGTGATCTATATAATTTTACGTAATTAATGATTCCGTAGTGAACGATCGCATACTTGAGTTCGGTTCGTGTTTTCAATTAGGATACTGACGCCTGCCATTTTACACAACAGGATATTGAAACGGTTGATAGGCTTCCTCGATACGGTCTGACGGCAGAACAAATGTATCTGCATTCTGCACGCGACAGAAACGATATATATCCGGCATTCCATGCAAATATTTGCGAAAGTTGCTTTTAACGCCGCCACGATCAATCTAAAATAAATGTAAAATATTGATGGTGCGTGGAAGAAGGATGTAACTGAGATAATCAATATCTCCACTTTAAATACGGTATTATGTAATGTCCGCGAGATATTTTTTATATTGTTATTTCATGACAAATGTTCGCTCAAGCAAAATTACAGTAATAAGCAATTGACAAATATTATTAGTGCAATAAAATGTTTAATGAAACGAATGTTTAATGATTCTCAAAAAATATCATCTTGTCTAAATTAATTTAAAAACTGTTTCGGGTAAGTTATATGCATTTGATTTAAGGCAAAGACGTAATATTCAATTTTAGTAACGAACCATCTTATATTTTAATGGCTCACTGCAGAGCGGTGAATTTACATATATAACTGTGTGTCATTGTACCCGAACTTCAGTTGCACAACTTCGGACTTTCGATCGATCGTCCGTTATAATTTTAGAAAGCTACAACCAAGAATCAGAAAAAGATCTCTGTATTTAAATGTTAAACAATATTCCAAATAAAATATTTAATGCAGAAAATCTCTTTCCTATTTTTAATTATAAAAGAGTAGTTTAAATTTAAAAATATTAGATCAATTAAAAGACGATTTAAAATGTTTCTCGTCTACGTTCTTCAAAACTACGTTGTCAAAAATTTCAAGTATGAGTAGCCGGAAAATACGCTTCCTACGCTGTCTAATTTAATTACTTCAATCACGCGTGCCCTATAGTGTCTCGCAATTTTCTCGACATGTCGCGCTTGTTGTTAAGGGCAATTTTGCGGATCAGCCGATCGTGACTTTGACACTCGACGACCGGTGTTCGTGCACCTCGGCGAGGCACGCGCGTTACATCGCCGTTTGCGGGCGAAAAAAGGAGCGAGAAACGGTCAAGATTGTGGTGTAAATCCGTTAAATCGAGGCTGATGAACGCGCTCACCGGGAGGCTTCGGCTCGCCTCGCTATATGTGGCACTCTTTGATGGTACGTAGCTGTGGGTTTTACGTATGCCAGCGTATCCGCAAATAGGCAAAGTGACTTAATATGCTATAACTTCCGAGCCCTTACCGTGATGATCTCATCAACTCGTCGCGAAAATTTCTCGATGTGTTGGGGACGATCATATATCCGCGACATAATCGCACATTGCGAAACGTTATAGTTTAAATTTCGAAAGTCAAAGCTTTATTTATTTTATTTTTATATAGGATTGTTAGATTATACATATCCGCTCTAATTGTCGAAAAATTTTAAAAGTAACAGTTCTTTATTTTTCAAATAATCATAAAGCTCTTTTTCGCAATACCCTTCAATAATATAAAATTATAATTACAAGATTTTTGTAAAATAAAAGAGCATCAATGAAAAGATAGATCTATGTATATGAACGAAACTTTTACGTTTGTGCAAAAGGATGTCATAAAAAAATATAAATATATATAAGAAGTCTCTCGGGACGAACATAGACTAGTAATTGTCCGAATATGGTAGTCTCGCAATAAGAAAAGCCTAACGGATTAAGGCGTAACGGAGGTTGTTATCCGAAGATAAACCCAAGTCTTAAACCCAAGATTTAATGCACTTTTACACTGTATATAGCTAGTTGTATGACAGGTAAACTGCGTATATAAGTTTTATATGCCAATTGCAACGGCTCGGTTGTAAATCAACGACAGCTACGAAAAGAATCTTACAGAAAAGAAAATATTTTTACTGCTTTTCTTGTGATAAAAAAGAAAAAAAAACAGCATGGGATATGCGTAGCTTTGAGAAATTTCGAACTGCACATTTGTTTTCTTTTTCTTTGTTCAAAAGAGACACCGAGCGTTTAACATGTCAAATAAAATCAGAAGTCTAATGAACCAAGCATTATAAATTCATCCTATCATATAATAACGTTCACTGAAGAGATACAAATAGAATTCACTAAAGATGATCGTAGTTTCTTTGGAATACATCTTGCAATTTTATTTACGAGTCGTGACTCTCTGTAAGAGTCATCTATTGTCACGTTATTTTGCGTCAACGCATACAGTGACACTGCACGTGAAAGTAAAATCATCCGGAAGACATATTATCCAAGGTAGCTAATATTATACGTATCTAATATTAAATAGAAAAATATGTATAATAATAGTACGAGATGTAGGTAGACATCAGATAACTAATGGCACATACATATATATATAGATAACCGATAAACAATTTTACATATAATATTTATTAATAATTTTACTTGTAGATAAATAGATTATATCTCCGTATATATAATATTAATTATTCGCAATTCGAATAGACGTAATTGAATTAGCTGAAACAATTCGCGTTGTCGTTCATTATAACGTATTGACACGGAGCCTCAGAGATACCAATTATTAATAGTATCGAGATAAATCAGATTGCTTCAATTATCATATGATTAATCAAATTATCATTTAATTGGAAAAGTTATTGGACAAATTAAATTTCATCGTAACGTGTACGATATTCTTAACATTTTGTCAAATGGAATGTTCATTACGATGATCACCATGGAAAGAGAAAGAGAATAAAATTTTTATCAAAATAAATCGATAATCCTTCTGGCTATTAACGTTCCATTGTAAGGAACTTTCTGAGATCGAGTCTGTCACACATTAAAAGTTCGCTTCAACTCAAATTTCATTCATACTCAGTCAACGATGAAATCACGCTCCACTTTGACCGACGTGGACGTCGTTCACGAAAATCTGTGATCGGTTTTTAAATTCCATTCGCGAATCAATCGAACCGCGGAACTCGGCGCGAGAGTTGTACCTCGACTCGGTGTTCCGCGCGCGACAACGAACGTCCGGGCGAACGTTCCCGAAAGATCGTTCGCACGGATATCCGGTTCGCTCGGTCAGGTCGACTGTGACGGCGACGAACCGGAGAGCTCGCACCACGACGGTGATCGATTCGGTCGGTCACGCTGCGCGATCATTACGGGAGGAGAAGGAGGAGGACCGGGGGTTTCGGCGTCACGTTAATATATTTTCACACTTGCAACACGTAGGATTCCGCGCGCGTCACGGAGGGACACGGAACGGCGCGGCGCGACCGAGCCGGTGGCTTCCGACGAGCCGGTCCTCGCCGGTGTATCAGGAATGTCTCGAGAGTCGGCGTGCGCTCTCGACCCTCCCTCGTCCCCGCGACCGCCCGCGGCGGCCCGACCTGACAACGATGACGACGGCGACGACGACGACGTGTCTGACACACTCGGATCGATTCTACATAACGCGCCGCGGACGCCGGCTCCGACGTTTTCGCACACGTCGCTCGCATTCCTCGATCGGCGAGGAAACCCGAGGAGAGCTTCGGTTGATCGAAGCAAAGGAGATCCGGCGCAAGAAATTCTCCGATTTTCCCGGATTTTTTCTTCCCGGAATCTCGCGGTAGCGCGTCCGGATCAATGAAATGCGATTCCCGCCTGCGAAACCTGTTCGCGAAGAATTTCGCTCCCAAGAGTTATCTCCACGCGCCGTTATCGTCGATTTACGTGTAAGTTACGAGGCCGACGAGGTAGCTCTCGTGTACCGCCGGCTCCGTGTCGATTATTGCCGAAATTGATATCTTGCAAAGTCACGATATTATCACGGGACTTCGCGACGGGAGCAGAGGAAGAGGGAGAGAACGAAAGAGAGAGATAGAACGAGAGAGGCGAGGGAGAGAGAGCGAGAGAGAGAGACAGAGAGCGAGAAAGATCGCGAACGAGGGGGAGCGCTTGGAAACTTTCCGAGGGTCGGTGTGCTCGCGGCAGGAGGAAGAGCACTGAAAGGGAGCAACGACGATCTCTCGCGGGTTCACTCACTTCCTCGCGGCGCATCACTTCCACCTGCAGCCGCCTCTGATACTCCTCGCACTCGTCCTTGTACTTCTCCATCTCCTCCTTCGTCTGCCGCATCTTCTTCTTGAGCACGTCGAGGAGGGTGCCCTGCACTTGCGCCGACATTGCTGGCTTAGTAGAGGACCCCGATGTTCTCTGATGTGGTCACGCTAATACCGCCGCCGTGAGTCGCGAAAGGGCCACTGGGCGAGTGAGAGGAAACACGCTCGGAAACGGACGACGACGCGCGAGCGAGCCGGCCCGTCGAGTTCCCACGCGGATTCGCGGCCGAACACGGGAAGGCGAGGTGAGATGCACGTCGCGAGGATGATGCGATCGTGCGTTAACACCGCGGGCGTGTGTGTACGCGCGTGCGAGAGACAGAGAGGTGAGAGTGTGGGTTTCGTAGGGGCACCCGGAGCTGTCGTGCACTGACGACCACTGGCTGCTGTTGCTGCTGACGGCCGCCGCCGTTGACTGGAGCGCAAGATGGCCGCCGCACCGGTCGTGACGCGCGTGCGCGCCGCGTCCTTCCGCGCGTCAAGTAGTCCCTCCGGCGGCCCTGCGCCCCGCGCCAAGGGCCGCCAAGCGCGTGCCGGTCCGATTTTTTTTTCGACGATCCCGCGAACGTCGGCCGCGGGACGGCGTCCGCGAGCGAGCGGCAGCGCCGGGACCACGCCTGCAGCGGGTCCTCCACACGCGCGTCGCCGTGTGCCGGTGCCCCGTCCGTCCGCCACGACCGCGGCGCGGCACAAATCGCGAGGCGTGCGCGTGTGCGCCGCCGAGTATCGCTACGCCGATCGACGTGTCGCTGTGCGCAAAGCCCCGGAAATACCGCGCCCGTCGCGAGCGCGCCCAACTGTTCGAATCGCCGGTGCCGACAATTCGCACGTTGTTTCGAGCCATCCCGCCCTCGGTCGCCCCCTCTTGTTTGCTCTCTCTCTCTCTCTCCATTTTTCTTCGATTATTGAACGATTGCAATTTTTTTTATGAGATCTATAGGAGTAGTATTAGATTAATTATTGAAAACAGTTGAATCGATTTTTAAATGAAATGTCCGAACGAGATGCGTTGGTAAATTGTGCTCGACCACTGTAAAATGTTATCTTACAATGATAAAGTATATTATTAATGTAGATTTATGTAGATTTATAGTATAATGTTATGCCAATGTCATTCCTATTC